GGGGGGTAGCAGGACCAGGAGCTTCCCATAGGAATGGGATGCTTCCCAATCCAGTGTGAGGTGTGCAGTGATTCGCTTCGCTGTTCCAGTCTTTGATGAGACGAAAAAAAAAACCCCAAAAGCAAAACAAAATCACCACACCACCAAAGGTACAGAGCAAATACCACTGTGCAAAGTTTGCTAAGGAACTTTTCTATTCTGTAAACCAAAATCTGCAGTTTATGCTTCCAGCTGGCACCAGGGGGGTGGTTGCATTGCCCAGCCGGTGCTGAAGGTGGGCTGGATGAAGCCCCCCCTCTACCCACATGGGCTTTCTCTGCATCCCCCCTGCTCCATCCCCTCCTGGGCACAGCAGCAGGACCAGCCTCAGGGCAAGGACCCACCCTTGGGGTCTGTGATGCTCCTCCAGAACCAGAAGCACGAGGAGGGGCAGAGGGACACAAGGAGCGCGGGGCTCCACGAGATGAAAGGCTGCGGCTTTCCAGACGGGATCACCCTAAAGAATCATTTCCAGGTGCGTGGGGGCAGGGAGGGGTTTGCTGGCCCTTCTGCGGGGACACGTGCCAGCACACGCCAGCCCCGTCCCCAGGGATGCTGTGATATGTAAGGTCACCTCTTACAGCTCAGCTGGGGATGAATCCTGCCCCAAAAGCCAGGAGTGGAGAGAAGCTGCTGGGAGGAACCGGCACCATCGCTCTGCCCCTGGTTGGAGTGGGGTGGGATGGGATGGGGTGGGATGGGTGCTCTGAAGGACGCTGCCAGCACGGACCGAGGCAGTGCTGGTGATGATATGGCAGAAGTGAGCACAGAGGTGATCTTATTCCCTTTTTTTTTCAATCAAGGAGAGGAAAATAATCTACCTAAGGTAACTCTCGGGGCTGGGAGGTGGGTACGGCAGTTTCTAAGACCAGCAAACCTGGAGGAGGAAGGGGGGGAGGTAGAGACAGACCCCTCTACAAAGCTATAGACAGGCTGCCCCATCATTTTTCCAGTTCTTACAGAGATTTATGGAGACCCATCTCCCACATAACGCACCGACTCTACGGCGGGAGGGGAGGGGAAGCCGGTGTGAAAAATCCATTTACAGAGAAGAGAAACAAAACCCAAAAGAAAAAAAGGACGGAGGAGGGAAAAGAAAACTTGGCAACGGGAGGTAACGCTAAAGTGCATTAATATTCCCAGAGGGTGGAGGCATCGATGGTGTCGGCGGATGCCTTGAGGACCCCGGCATGGTCACCCTTCAGGTATTTGCCATTGATTTTGATAGCCACTTTGTTATAGTCGCAGAACTCAAAAAAGAAGTCCACGGGGGTGTCGCTGCTGCTGGTGACGGATGACTCGTTCCCCACCATCCAGTATTTCCCAGTGGCATCTGCGGGCAGAGGGAGAAGGGACAAGGTGGCCCCGTCAGCCACCATGGGGATCCCAGTGGCCATCACCCGCCCCTTCCCCAGCCCATACCCACCCCTGGGGACTCACCCTTGATGTTGTAGGCCCCGTCGTTGAACTCCAGCTGGAAGACATCGTAGGAGGAGCGGTTGGAGTCCAGGGTGCCAGTCACCTTCCGGCACCCGATGAAGCCGTGCTCGCCGCGCAGGACGATGATGGGTCTGTTGATCAGCTTCATCACAAAATGCTCCGTCTCACCTGTGCCAGAGGGGAGAGGGGTCATGAGAGTGGCCCGGGGGGGTGCAGAGCCTGGTCCCCATGGCTGACAGGCAGCAGTGAGGAGGGGGGCTGTGTCCCCCATCCATTTCTCCCCCACCCCATCTGTCCCCTCCATCCCACAGCACCTGAAGTGGTGCAGCTACTAAGAAAATCTTACAGCTTGCATCCCTGAGGATCCCGTGGAAGACAAGCCCTACCTGGGGAGGAATCCCCCATCCCCTGCCACCCCAGCATGGAGTGGGGGTCTCTGAGGGGGTCCCTTACCCACTGTCTCCATGGAGGCCGCCAGCTGCCCGTTCTTCTTCGCCGTCACGTACTTGCCGTTGGCGGCTTTCAGGGTGATGCGCTTGTCACACCACTCGATGTCAAAGTAGCAGCTCGCGTTCCTGCAGGGACAGAGAGGGAGGTCAGCGGGATGTGACGGATGGGGACCGCCACCCCGCTGGCTCGGGAAGGGCCATGGCTGGATTGGGGCTCCCCGATTCAATCCAGGATGAGCCAGGCCGTGGTGGCCATCCCATGGCAGGCAGGTAGCCAACTGCGCTGTCGGAGTTCCCGCCTGGCTCTCAGCGCAGGGTTGAGCTGCAGGGTAAGGGATTTCAACAGCCCCAGCCAGCCGGGAAGGATTATTACGTGGCCTGAGGGACTTCCCGAGCATCGTGGGCGGCAAGTCCTGACCCAGCCCTGGCTCTCCGGGGAATTTGCTTCCTTCACTGGGAAGTGTTTTTGGGGCAAGCACCTAGGCTGGAAAATCCCCCTTGGATTCCCCTGGGAGATGCAGACGGGTCCCCAAAGCCCAGGGATGGCCCCAAGCCACCGGGGACAGGGGACTCACTTTGTAGAGGCGGTGGACTGGATGCCCCCGTTGGAGGTGAGGGTCCAGTACTTCCCAGTGTAGGTCCTGAAGGCGCATTTCTTGGTGTCCTTGTTAATCTCCAGTTGGTAGGTCTCCTGGTCACCCTCCTCATCTTGGTTGGCTGAGAGGTCCATCCCTGTGGGGCAGAGGGAGATGGAGGTGAGGGGCACCAGGGCAGACCCCAACCCATCTCCAGCAGGTCTGGGTGCAAAGGCAGCTGGGGAAACCCAACTGAGAGGAGCTCCTGCTCCCCTGGGTGAGCTTTGGTGACTCCCAAATCCCTCGCATGCATCTCCCCTCTGGCATTTTGGGTTCAAGTCCAAGTTTTCATTTGGCTACTCAAATATTAAGGCCAAAAATGAGGGTTGGACTGAGCTGAGGCACCCACGAGCTTCCTTCAGCTCAGGACTCTCCATCTCTATCATGATTAAGCACCAAGTAAAAACCAACTTAGATATTTCACATGGAAAAGAGCTGCAGTTTTTCCCCAGAGGTGACAGCCAAGTTATTCAATCCATTAGCAGAGGCCTCTGCAGCACCTATGAATCCCGGCTCGTGGCGTGTTTAAGGACCGTGGCACCATTTATCACCCATAAATTGTCACGGCCCGTTGGGACAGCAAGGCTTGCAGGGAGAGGAGGCTTGGGAAAGCCCTGGGGCAGCCAAACCCTTTCCTGGCTCCCCAAAAACCATCAGCACCAGCCTGTCCCCTGGCTCTGCCAGCCAGAGTGACCCATCCCTGCACCAAAGGGACGTCACTGTGGCCGTGACCTGGCAGCTGATGGCCATTCCCATCCTGGGCACCAGCCTCGGAGGTAGATGCAGCCAGTCCTGGGGCCACCACTGGCCCCCTCCCTGGGCCACGTGCACATCCACCCACAGGCACTGAGCCCAAGCAAACGTGCTTAGTCAGGGCTAGTGGGGCCAAATCCTCTCCAGAGCTCTCCAGCTTGGTGGATTTCTGCCTAAAAATACTTCTGGGATGGAAGTCACGAGCCGTAGCCTGGAGCCAAAGCAAAGCAGCCGAGCTGCTCTGCTGGATTTTGGGGAGGGAGCCGGGGTGCAGTGCTCAGCCCCGCTCCTCCCTGCCTACATACACCACTGTGAGCAGAGAGGGGCCCCAGTCCCACCAGGGGGGCACAGGGTCTGTAACCAGTGAGAGCAGCCTGGGAGGGGATGGTGATACAGACGGCAGTTTGGAGGCACCAGGTGAGTTTTTCAGAGCAGAAAGGGCCCACCCACGTCCCTCCCCTCCTGCATGGGTGCTCCAGCCTCAAGTCCCACCATGCACCTGGTCCTGGAAAAGATGCAAAGGGTGCACACCAGCTTTCTGCCCAAATCTGCCTTTTCCTGGAGCCAAGAACCCGCTCACGGGGCTGGTGATGTGTTCAGCCCCGTGCACCTTTGCCACATGTTGCCTCCCAGTTTCTCAGCTGCTGGGATTTCAAGTGCTGCCACACACAGTCACTGGCAGAGTTTCGTGGAGTGCAGCCTTGGTGGCCCTTCTGCACTGGAAAACCACCAGCAAGTCCCACCAGCTGCACCCATCTGGGGAGGGATCTACCTCTGCACACCAGCTATCAAAATCATAGACTCATAGAATGGTTTGGGTTGGAAGGGACCTCAAAGATCATCCAGTT